TACCTGTCATTTTATATAACTTCGTGCGGGACCAACATTGGGGCGGTATGGATTCTGTATATCCATGATTTCATCCAGACATTTTGTTAAAAATTTCACTAGGGCAAAAAGAGGAAGAGCATGTGCACTCCATGGCAAGCATGGAGGGCCCAGGACACAGAGAAAGAAAGGTGACAAAGGAGACCAAATTGAAACTTATAAGGCTCCAACTACGGAGGTTGGGGGTGTGTACACGAAAGCAACCAAAGGACTAAAACGTGATCTTACTAAATTATGGATAGGACGTCAGCTTTCATGTGTACTTTTCTAGTACGACTTGACCTGTTGCTCGGAGAAAATTCGTGTTATCTATCACGTCCCATCTCTCTTTCAATGTCTCTACCTAAACTATAAAACCCTAACACGCTAATCTCTCTCTCTCTCTCTCTCTCTCTCTCTGTTATTGAACGTTTAAATTACATATTGAATGTTCAAGAAGCTCATACTTCTTTTCACGAGCCTATTGCAAAAAGTGGGGCTACGTACATAGAAGAACGTGGTTACATGTAGGCCGCACATTCTTTGTTTTTTTAACTTCTTTTTTTTCTTTTGTCGAAACAAACACGATGCAAGTGGGAGAAACGCAGGTTACTGGGTATTTGGAATGATAGTTGAAATAGATTACTACCAAGAAATTAAGAGCAGGAGCATACTTTTCGTATTGATCTGGACAAATGTAGCTTAACGCCCGTCAATGCACATGCATACTTGCCGTATAGATCTTGGTATTGACCGTATATGACCATTCCCACTCGTACATTCATTGATGTCTGCTGCTTATTTATTTATTTTCTTCGTTTTCTAGGTCAACTAATTTGTCGCAAGCTTTCCATAAATATTAACTTCTCTCGGGTATACCAAATATATATGGAATTTTTGAAGAAGCAATCTTCTTTTGAATTTTTCTTTGTCTCGCTAATATTTTTCATTATGCATATTGAGGTTTCGTCCCATATAAATGCTCTTTATATTCATGTGGTCTCTTTTCACTTATCAATTTAAGCTTTTGGGCTGGACTTTTCCGCAAATGTGTCTCAATTTGTCCTAAATGCTCTTTATATTCATGTGCTCTCCCTCCACCTATCAGCTTAAAGAATTTATAATCTATTAGAGCCAAGTCATGCAAAGAAGTTCTTGGTAAATCCTTAATCTCTGCATAAATGACCAACAAGTATACCCGATTAAGAATGATATACAGACTTGTTTTTTTTTTTTTGGGGAATATGAATATACTTACTTGTTTTGATTACTCTTATAATTAGTTTATAATAAACAGTCGTGAGTCCCTAGCTAATCAACACATGTGCTCTAAATATAAAGCTGAGTTGAGCTAAGGGCTAGATAAATGCGTTAAATATAATGCTAAGATCATCTCAATTGATTTACGTGGTTACATAATGGAACGCCCTCCGAAGAATTCATTCTATTTTTACTCGTGATCATCTAACAAAAGAAAAAAAAAAGCATTTTCAGATGTATCAATTACTGATTGTAATACTTAAAAGTATACAGTAAAAGCTGTGCTGCAATTAAATTATTAGGGTTAGAGAAACAACTGAGATTATGGTGACATATGCTCTCCCACGAATCAAATCCCCCAAACCTTAAACAAACCTTGAGAAAGTTCAAAGTGGTGAGTATTAAATAAATGGACCGACAAAAATTAAAGCCGGACAATATTGTACAAGGAAAAAAGAGAAGATGAAGACCCTAAAAGACATCCACCAGAGGAAAAATTGTTTAAAAAGTCCAAAACCTATTTCATTTTTACCAATTCAGTCATAAATCTTTTAACCTTACCAATTGAGTCCTAAACCTTTTCACTTCTTATCAATTGAGTCCATTCAGTTAATTTTAGTTGGAAATCGCTAACGTGAACATTTTTAAATAATATTTTAATAATTTCTGAATTTTTTATTTTTCTATTTTTCCTTTTCCTTTTTATTTTTTTTTTTGGTTTTGGAGTTATGATCGTCGAGGGCCGCAATGCCCTCTCCGGATTTGGCCGCCAAGCGCCTCGGCAAGGGCCGCCAAGCCCTTGCATAGCCAAATCTGGTGATGGCGTTGCGGCCCTCGCCGGATTTGGGCTAGGGCTTGCACACACTTGCTTTGGCCGGTGAGGGCGTCGTGGCCCTCGCCCTGGCACGACGCCCTCACCTAGAGGTGGTGAGGGTCAGCCGGCCCTCGTCGGTCCTAACGCCAAAAATAAAAAACAGAGAAACAGAAAAAAAAGAAAAAAATCATAAAATTTCAGAAAATTATTAAAATATATTTAAAAATTTCTACATCAGTACCACGTGGCTACCCGATCTCCATGTCAGCGATTTTTGGTCAAAATTGACCTGATGGACTTAATTGATAAGAAGTGAAAATGTTTATGACTCAATTGGCAAAATTAAAAGATTTAGTACTAAAGTAATAAAAGTGCAATAAATTTAAGACTTTTCGGACAATCCCCCCACCCACAAACCAGAAGCAGACCAGACTTTTCGTAAGTACACTGGGGGACGGTTGGAAGATGAAGATGTTAGGTGAAGAATAAAAAGGCAAACTAGAATCGATAGAGATAAGAATAAGAAGATGCCTTTCACATAGATATGATTTTCATGCTGCAAATGGGGGACCGACGTGTGTGATTTGATCCTGAAGGTAAGGCCTCGTTTTCAACATCATCTGGTTATAAAAAAGGAACTTTTCTAATGGCTTCATTATTGCTCTTCATGAAGATAGTCAACAAAGGAAACTGATAACATAGAGCTTTTATGAAGCTGATCTCGGTCAAGATTCGGAGCCACTTCCATTGGATCGAGATTGAAAAGACCTGAATTCTTGTTCAGGAGATGCCGACACTTCTCTCTAGAACTCATCCCGAGTGTCAAGTATAGTCTCACTTCGATTAGATACATGATTATAATGTGCATAGACATGCATTCTCCCCCTGTCCAAAAGCCTAAATCAATAGCTAGATAGAGATCGCACATATATGAAGAGCATATAAACCTTGACAAGAGATGCAATATACTTTAATATCCTCTCTCGCATGTAAGCCGATTTAGGAACGATGCGTGAAATTCGATAAACAAGAGGCCACATACACAAAATACATTGAGGCGGAACCTGTTTCCGATAATAATATCTCGCGACCTCTCTAATTATGTGTCCATGTTGATAAGATAAAAAGGTAAGTAGCCCCTCATCATTCATTGTCGACCAAACATGCATGTGAACTTGAGTCACTAACAATTCTTTTTCTTCCTCATTTTGTGGGTTTTGTCCTTTAGTGGAAATTTAGTTTAGTCTTATACCTACCCATGAGATTTGAGTACTTTTCCCCATGGATTGCAAGCAAATGCTCCTCGCACCAAGTAGTGAATCTGACTCTTGTCGACTCCTCTCGATATCGTGAAATTTAATCATTATATCAAACTTATAAATATATACCCACATATATTAACCCAGGCATTACATGAATTAACAATTCTGATCGTGTCGAGATAAAAAAAAGCAAAAAAAATGCACACGTCGTAGTTTTTAGATAGTTTACGTTTTTGAATTACCAAGTCACTAATTTCAGCATATATATATAACAATCATGTTGTTTTATAGTGACTCACTCATTAGATCCTTAGATGGTCAAGCAAGACTCCAAGAGAAGACTTCTCAAAGCTTGCTTAACATTTTCCGAGAAGTTAGTATGTGTCTTGTTTAATACGAATATTTTACCTACAGTCCCAGCAAAAAACCTTGACTTTCCCCACGAGTAGTAACCATATGTCTTCGTTGTCCATCAGTTAAAAGATTAACGGGGTAAATTATTGTTGGGAAATATAAAGAATTTATTCAAAGTTGTCTCCAAATTTTAAGCGAGGTTGCAGAATTCATAGCGAAAACTAAAGAGTTCATCTAAAGTTTGAAGGTATCTAGCTAGAAAACGAAAGAGGACGCCAAGTAATCAATTAAAACCGGGTTCAATGTAACGGCGACAATTCTGGACGTGACACAAGAATACAATTCAGACGTGAAACGTATTTACCGAGAGGACTGCGAGCTCGACTCTACCCAAGCGCTTCGGAATTGACCGGTGTTCGATCACCGCTAAGAAATTCTCCAATGGAATCTGTTCGACATCTTCGCACCCACCCGTTTGTCTCTCTCGTCTCTCACACAAGTTTGAAACATGTATCGTTCAACTACATTTATGTTGAATGACCGAGACTTTCATAAAATGGTTAGAAAACGACATGCGCCCCGAAACTTCGAGAAAGACAAGAGTGGTTGAATATGACAAAGGCGACTGCGAGAAGACGAGGCTAGTGTTTGTTCGGTCGGTCGTCGTTCAGGCATTATGCTATCCCAAAAACATTAACCTCTCGAGACTTCCACCCTCTCGAGACATCCGTATCGTTAAGGCAAAAGCGATGTTGCTCTGGAATTTCTCGCCCCCCCATCCGTCCAAACTACGCTATTCTGCCAAACCCCAGAACGTTCCATTCATTGGACAAGAGTTGGGTCCATTGCAGCCTCGGTCAATTTCGTGGGACTTCCTGGTACTTTGTCCTTAATTTCTACTTCCGAGCGTCTGAATTGACGCTGTCGTCGAACCAAAGATTTGTCAAACGTAGATTAATCGGAAAGGATGGAAACCTGAACGCTCGAGAGTCCACACGGAGAAGTTCATGGACAGAGAAGAAGATGCCTCTTGATAAAAGACGCCCTTCCCTTTCAATTTCTTCCAGAAAGACTTGTTGTCTTTTGACCAATGCGTACTAGATGGTCCATCCGTCCGTTTGGGACGAATGTATATAATAGATTATGATCAGGGTCATTTCAGACTTCGGTCTAAAAGAGGGGGAAATGTCCAATTAGCTCTTGAACCTCAGATATGAAATTGAAAAGTGATTGGATCACAACCGGAGTTTTCATGATCATAACATTCCAATGTGGGAAAAGAACACAACAGATTTTGAACCATCAAACTGAGAGTGCAGGTTCAAACTTCATATTTCAAACCATCTATGTCAGATTGATCCTCCAGTATAGATGAAATTGGTAACAAACGCAGACGACGTAGACTCGTATTACAGAGCCTACAGTGGATTAGAAGATACGAACACCACTTATTTAGACGGTCCCACGTACTCACTATTGACACCTTGACGCATCATCTAAAGCAGCATCTTGGAAATATGAACATACCGCACGCACGCACACATACACACGTAAGATAAGTCGTCTACGGAAGAAGGTAGCGGGACATCCACGACTTGAAGCGAGACCATGCAAGCTCGGCTGAAGCTTCATTGTCATCCTCCATTCCCATATTCTTCCTCCGCTTAACACCATCAGGAGACCTGTTCATAAAAGCGTGTGCGTTGCCCGGATAAATGTGTACCTCGTGAGGGACTCCAGAAGCTTTCAGCTTCTCCTCTAAAGCCTTGGCAGCCTGGAAAGAAGAATAAGCAAAATGTATTATCTACCTCTTGCATGTGACGTGAAGTTAGGATAACTGGCAAATCCATCTGCTGTAAGAGAAATGGTATACTCCAAAGAGGAACAGTCATCTTATCAGAAGAACTCAGAAAGCAAACACTAACTGCTCGTGCTATTTAAATTAAATCTTGCATTGAACATTGTGGATTGAAAACCTTCATGACAAGCAGCAGACAAGACCGTCTCCAGAGCAAAAATGGTGCTTGAGTGTTACACTAGTATCGATCTGCTAACTTAACGCTTTACTAAAGAGAGGGTTTCAATACTCTGTTAAAGCCAAAAACAGTCCCACATGAGCAGGGAAAACTTTCCAAGAGCCCTTGTCTGTGCTTTACTCATTTCATGGCAAAAGATTATTGTCCTTACACAAAATAGAAGACCTTGCCCATACTTATCTTCACTACATTTCTTTTTTGTTGGCCAGTCACTCAATCACCATTGTGTTAAAGCAAGGAAGAAAGGGACGCATGCCTCAAAAGCATATCCAGGAAGAAGGTACAAGAAGCTGTTAGCAAATAGTAAGGTCAGGGCATAAGGTCACGATGCCAAATGACTCACATACAGGGATCTGAAAAAAAAAACCAAGCATATCCCGAAAGCAGCAAAGTAGAAGTTGAATGTGCTCCAGGGATTTATTTAAGCAAAAAAACACAAGATTCCTCAAGTATCATGTTTATGCATGAGGATCTTCATCTAATATAAATGCAAAACTAAAATAGTTATGAATTACTTGGAGCTTTGTTCAACTAGTCATTGAGCAAAGCATGATTTAGCACCAAGAGCATTGATCACAACAAGCAGGTGTTACAACCGCAATGAAACATACCGCCACATCTGAAAAGCCAACAAAATTATCAAGCTCCCCAAAATGAGCCTGCACAGGAGCCTTAGCCTTAGCGGGATCAGCGAGCTCGGAAGAAGGCACACCATAGAAGGCAACCACGCAGTCAACTTCAGGGACCAGAACAGAACTTGCAATGGAAAGAGCACCTCCCATGCAGAAACCAGTCACACCAACCTAATGCAAAGAGAATCATTTATTCTTCAATTAAGGATTCAATTGGAAAATGATTATTGCTCAAGGAGAAAAAGTTTTTTCAATTGGTACCATGATGAAACTATATGCTACTCGCAAAATTCATAGGAACATACATATGCCTAACGGATCATCATAGCGAGTTGATATTGTAATGACATAAATTGCTCATATAGTTCCTTCCTCAAATCTTGCTGAAACAAAGCTTTTTATAACACTTATGTTCAGTTAACTTGATATGACGAATCATAAATTTAAAATGCATGTCACATTTGAACTAAAAAGCTATGCAAAATTGAGTTCCTTAGGAACATGAGCAAAAAATAGGAACATAGCAAGTCAGAAGCAGAAGATTGATCAGAAGGATCAACTCGCTCAAATTGAAGCTCACGAAAAGAAGGGATTTGATCACTCACAAAACAAGGCCAAGCCAGATATATTCACCACCACTTTGCATCAGACAAAGGGGTAAATAAATTCAAATGATGAAGGGGAAATGCAATCAAAACTTTTTACAATGACCAAGGTTGGACCAAGTCAAGTCAAACCTAGCCTTAACCAGAGATTTTTACCAAGCTAAGTGTAGCTGAATCATATACCAATATTGTGAGTAATTCAATTCATACTTTGGATACTTAATGACAACAACAACAACAGAAGCTGCAGTTACTGACGATCTCAAGAATGTAAATGATTACCATAGCTGCAAAATACTGTGCATGAGACATGCCCCTTTACAACCTGTATTACAACTAATGAAAGGATGTTGGCCGATAGAAGATGAGACAATCATGCTCAGATGGTGTCAAAATCTCAAGGATGGTACAATAGGCATCCAACTGCTTTGATATAGGTCACATGCGCGAGCTTCCTTATGTATTTTTTAAAATCCACATAATTAACATAAATAGGGGTCTAGACAATTATGCAACTATATCAAAGGTCTGCCAGAGCTTGTACTGACGGTTATCTAAGAAGACCCATGATAATTGCAAGAGGTGAAAATGGCACATGAATAAATAGAAAATCCAATAATACAACTCAGAGAAAGTCCACACCTTCTTAGATCCATTAGCCTTAAGCCAGTTAACTGAGGCGCCGATATCCTTTACAGCACCCGCCCAGTCAAGACCATCCATAAGATGCTGTGCTTCTGCAACATCTAGACCAACCTTTCCTCGATAAAGACTGCAACAACGTCAGCATACCCAGAGTTAAACTCAAGCAAATCGATAAAATTTTTATCCGCTCTCATTTTATGACAACAACTACAGTTCCACAGGCACAAAGATAATTACTCTGGGATGAGAGCCTTAAACCCAGGATCCATTTGGGAAATTTTCAGAGCATGGTTCTTGATCTCAAAATCAACACCCCACCACTCCTGCAACACCACGATCCCGGGGGCATTGTCTTTTCCAACCACATATGCGTCAAAGGCCTAATCAACAAAACAAACAAATCAATCAGAAAGGTGATTGCTTGATTTTCTAGTGCTTAGAAAGGTTCCATGGTTAATGATCCACACCCATTTCGGTCACAACTAAAGATATCAGGTTTCGAAGCCCATAATACAAGTTACAAGCTCGCATCGAGCCAACTGTACTCGGACTAATGAAATCCACACACACGTTTCCAACAAAGCTTACGTATGCATCTCAGATTGTCAAGTCTCTTTGGGAACAAATAACTACCAAGTAAAGATGCCTCATTGCTCCTGCTTGTTTTACACTTTCAGCTGGACAGGTGAGGGGAAAGATACAGAGCTCAAAACCACAGATTTACCAAATATTATATCTGAGAGATTAAAGGGAAAAAAAAGGGCTCCTGGAAAACATTTTAACACCTACGGCAACAAACGACTCGCAACACACTTCACTCTGGAAAGTTACACTAATTATCACTGGCACTGACCACAACTCATTCGCATCGGACAGCCACTGATTGGACAGAAAGATTAGTCAAAGGATGCATTTGCCATTCACCAAATCTCCACACAGAGCGTTCAAAGTTTCTGAATTCGATAGTGTCCTCTCTCAGCCACACAAAAGCCGCACCAGCACTAACCCTACACTCAACTGACGCATGCCCACAAAAAACCCAGAATCCCAACACGACAGCCCGCGTCGCTGCATCGCTGTAAAACACCAAAACAAAACGCCGAGCCATTTATCCTACGGCCACATCGAAACCCAGAAAGGGAAAATGCAGATTAGGGCGTGGGACGCCAAGAAAACGTGATCATCGAGACGGGGGCTCACGGTGTCCTCTCTTTGGATGCGGACTTTGGTGAAAGGAGCGGCGGACGCGGCGGAAGCGGCGGCGGAGTCGGCCATCGAGCGGGTCGCGAGGCGAGGAGCGGAGCGCGGGGAGGAGAAGAGGGAGGAGGTGGTGGACTTCGCGATGGTTCTGGAGAAGATTCTGGAAGAGGACGATGACAGTGCAGCTGCCAGCATACTTCCCCGGGAGCGGGTGGCAGGGGAGGGACCGAGCGAGCGACCGTTCAACGGCGGCGGGCGAGGCGTCGCTTTTTGTCGATCCGGCGATCGGCGGTGGGCCTTTCTTCGCGACTTCTTGGGCCAAATTGAGCCCATAATAGAGACTTCCGGGTTTCTGGGCCGGAAAGTAGCCCAGCTGGGAGCATTAACGTGGGCCCAGATCGATGAAAGGCATCATTATGGCATTATAAGACCAGAGGCTTAAGCTCGGGACCTCACTGCTCGTCGTATTTGGTTTGGTATTGCGGTTGCGTGCGCACGACTTTCGTCGATTGAGTTTATTAACAATGAATAATAATGAACGGGGCCTCTTTTTTTTATATTTCTGGAAGAAGACACATCAAAACGACTATTCCGCTGTTCTCAAAACGACTTGGAGCCGAGCCTTTGTCGTGCAGATGCATCGACTTTACATTTCATAGACCCGCCTCGATCCCAATCTATTTGACAATCGATACTTTTTTTTTCTCCGAAATATGGACACGAATGGCAGTTTAACTCCTGAAGAAGCACTTTGACGAAGCCGAGTTGGATTACCTATCCCTTGGCCCATCAGCGAACTATTGAGCGCCTATGATATTTATGATTAGTCTCGACTTAAAGAGATTCGATTAAGTCGGGAAAAAAAAGTCCCTTAATTTTGCTAAGTAAGAACGGAGTCACTTATTTCATCTAATAGAAAAGAGGGTTATCTAAATCTTGCTCATTAACTCACACGCAAGAAATGTTCATACGTTGGTGGTCTCTACTCTTTCTTCTCATTTGGACCGGACTAGTGGGTACTAGATAAGTAGATAGTAATCATCCAACCTTTCGTTCTCTCTCGTAAAAAATGGGCGGCTCTTCGTCTTGTACTTTTCCAACGTGGTGGGCGAAGAAAGATAGGTTTAGCTTTCGAAAATCAGGGCATGACGAGTGACGACCGTGGTTTATATTAAGTCAAGAGTAATGATTTTTGTGGAGATATTTGTACAAAAACAAAATGTATTTGTCGCGACCTAACCTCCTGCGGTGCACCACCTAGGGGTTCGGCTAATGGATTATTAAGCCTATGCCTAACTCGGGCTCTCCCAAGCTCATATCAATTCTTGACTTAGGTTCAAATCATTTAAGTTCTTAACATGTAAATCATTTCAATAAGGAGTTGCCACTAATCTATTTTTTGGTGGGTCGATTAGAAACCCAAGTAAAATATCGGGAGAATTACTTTACTCCTACGAACCAGAGATTATGGATTCGGGGACTTGATTACACTAGATTGCTCTAATGCCCTTTCGATACCTATTCTCTTTTATTTCAAAAAAAAAAAAATATTTGCAGGCAGCTTGGATTGATTTTAAATTTATCTACTAACATACGAGATGATCATGCGGGTGCGCAATCAATAATAAAACACTCAATAATGCAAAGCAATAAATAAATTACAAGATAGGGACTTACCTCAAAGTAGCGAAAGCATCTGCAATGTTAGTTAGAAAATCACATTGACAATTCTAATATGATTTCTAATTAACACGCAATTTCACTCAAATCTTTTTTAGGGTTTTCTCTGATTTAACGAAAACTAAACCTTATTCGATGCATTATACGTCTAGCATGACATGCGACATACGATTTATTTAAATGTCCTAATTCTAACAATAATTAAATGCACTATCTCTAATATGGCATGCAAATGAACCTAGACATGAGATTTCTAATGACAAGAATTAATTAATATGCAACTACTCTAGCATGGCAAGCACATATTTATTTTTGGTATTTTTTCATAAAATTCGGAATTAGAAAATAATGAAAATTTATTATCTAGTGCAAGATATTATCCAATTCATTTTAGGAAATAAACTAGGTCAAATCCTAATTTAAATTGGAATATTATCTTAACTAGATAAACCCTATAAAAGCATGCAATCTATTAAAAAAAAAACTTACCTTGATCCTATCTAATCTTTTTGTATTTTTTTTAATGGAAAGACAATCAATGCAATACAAACAAAAGACGAAAAGAAATAGCAATGAACACGACACCCAATCATAAGAAATATTATCCGTATCCATTTAAATTTAGAAACGATAAATTGACGAATCGTATCATGGGCATGAGATCGGATTGGCCAATTTTTCCACACAATCGCAAATCGTATTACAGGTGGGAGATCGGATTAACGATTTTCCGTACGATCGCGAATCATATCTCGGGCGGGAGATCGGATTGGCGATCATAACACGATATGAAATTAAGAAATAATTCTTAATTTAAAGGCTACCATGGAATTTTCATGAATATGGTAAGATTATTCAAAGGTCCAAACAAGATTGCAACTTCACCCATTAGGCAACAAAATATATGAAAATCGAATTAATGAAAATTCTTACCTAATTCGCGATATCACCTGGATAGCGTTTCCAAATTCCAACTTGACGGGACGGCTTGAGCTCAGTGATCGGCAGTGTGCTCGCGGCAAGGATGCTCGTGGGAGCGATGCTAAGGATTCGGCATGATGAAACAAGGAGGCTCGACGATAGCATGCAAGCACCAAAAAAAAAAAAAACTTATTGATCGCAGCACTAGGGACAATAACGCATCAACTTTCTCCACGGAGCTGTTCGGAATATGCTGAGCGACCTGCAAAAGGAGATTCAGCATAACAACAGATTTGCAAGCACGGCTGTGAGCTGGAAGTGCAGTGAGGAGGCTTCAACGTTCTTCGGAATCGAAGGGACTTGTCTGGAATCGCTGGGCGCTCGTTGGCTGGTCTGGTCACCGAGAGTGTTGAGCAGCGGCCGCGTGACTCGAGAGAGTGAGGTGGAGGCGTGACAAGAGAAGGTGTGGAAGTCGGATGCCAAGAGACACAATCGGCCACCGCGGAGAGACTGACTTCTCTGGATGTACTCTTCGTATTGTGGACCCTTTGTCGTCAACGTGTCCCTGTTGATCCAATGGTTCTTGTCCTGTTGTGCAGAAGTGGCAACCTCTTCATGGGTGATGGATGTTGAAGTGGTTAGTGGATGATGATGGTGAAGGTGTGAAGACGTGAGTCAACCCGAAGAAAATTTCTGCAATCCCTTCTTTCTTTCAACTGTGGCCGAGTATTCTTAATTGTGTGTCCTCCTTCTCTGCATGTAAACGTCCAGAGAATTTATACTTCTTCACTCACTGACTCCTTGCGGGACGACTGTATATTTTCCTTGCTTTTTTCTTTCAATCAAATATTCTCTCCTCTTGTTGACCGAATCCTTCTTTTTTTCAATTTGGCAGCCATTTTTATCTAATACATGCTTTTGATATGTCCAGAATTATTGACCACACATACCTTTTGAACATTGACATAAAATATACTCGGCCACAATCTTGCTTAGCACATCCTCGAACAAATCTTGCATGACTGCAATTTCCTTTCTTTAATTACTCCCCAAGACAAATCAATCTCCAAACTCGACAAATACCCCAATGAATTTTGGTAATGATAATTGATGGGCTAGGTCAAATTTTCATTACCGCGGGCTTTGTCCGGTTAAGCTCATAATCATTTACTCAAGTCCATCCGCTACGGTCCAATGCAAATGCAACTATATGACCCTAAATACTAATTCAAATGCTCCTAATCTATATGCAATTTAACTAATTTTTTGTATAGGGACCGGGAACGATCCCTAATTTTTTATGCAACGAACCACTGACTGGGTTGCCAAAATTTAGGTGTCAACAGTATTTTTCTCGTGGAAGATTAGGTTCATTGTCCGATCTTGGTGGCCTTATTAGGGTGTGATTAAGTCAATAAGACGGCGATCATAAGCATGATTAGGAAGAAGATTCTTTGATCATTAGATTCATTACGTAATCGATTACTCAAGCAATTTGCACAGTCCCTCTCTCTCTCTCACTCACACACTCTTTTGTTTTTCGTCATTTGTTTAAGGTTTTTCCCCTTTTGGGGTAGGGACGTTTTTGTTGCCAGGACACCGGGAGTGCCACGTTCGAAAGTTCGTGCCTAAGCAAGTGGAGGATTTCATTCATATATATTTTTAACATCGAAGTAGGAATATTAATATGTTTACAACGACTTTTGTATCGCCGAGAACATAAGCTCGATAGACAGAAGGATTAGATTAAACGGGATTTCGACAAGGTCCGAATGGCACGGGTCCAAATATGGTCGGGAGATTGTGCTTGTCCTAGTCCTTTCCTGTTTGGTCATGCCCCATATTATCAATTCATCACCAAATGCCAAATGGGGCCAAAGACACCATAAGTTAAACTCAATTTATCATGATGGATAACATAAATATGCAAGTCATAAATAGTAAGGTACAACGATGTTTTGTTAAATTCATCAATCGTGATAGAGAGAAAATGATGGTTTGGACGTACCATCACCAATTACATATACTTAAGCATACACAGGTGTGACGCTTGTGCCTTTGGATCCTATCAAACCCCACTTCTTAGGCAATTTCAGCATTCACAAACTCTTCCCAAATCACTTTTTTTCCTATATTAAGGTTGCTGTCGATGATAAATTTTTTCTCGTGTTATGACTTTTCATAGAGATTTTTACTTTCTTGGTGGGCATGCATGCATAGCATTAGTCGATAGGAGCCAAACCTCTATCGGCATTGGTTACACGAAACATAGTTTCTCCGTCGACATACGCACAATTCCAAAAGTAGGACATACACACAATAGCAAAAGTCCTTCGGACTACCATGCTACTCAACCCCAAAAATAGGACATACGCGCGCTGACAAAAGTCCAACAAAGGCTTTGGACTACCAATCTCTCTTTGCATGTTAAAAACGCAGAATAGAAGAAAAAAAGCTAAAGAAGCAACCCTTTGGCGAGTAAGAATACGAGGACGTAAGTCACGACCACTTTATAAAACTATGGTTTTAAGTAATGCCATATGCAATTATTGAGTGTTGAATATAGTCCGTGTCTTTTAGTATGCCAATCTTATGGACCCTAGCATTACTCTAATGGGGGCAAGTGAACTTG